GACACAAAAGGAAAATAATCTGTAAATGATAACCTGACCCTGCCCAGTACAAAAGAACCTCCCAAAATAGACACCCAGCTACATTGACTCCTTTGTCTGAGGAGAAGAGAGAACAAACACATGTAGGTTGTGCTGCTTTATATACCCTGTTGCTGAATGCAGCATAACAATCCATGTAAATTTAAACTGTGCCTTGTAACATCGTTTATTTAATCTGCTGTGGAACCCATCTTTGTTGGCGGGCAGCTGGCTGGGTCCTATGCTACATCGGAGGTTAGTTGCCAAAAATTGGTTAATGTGGGTCTGATTTCTTATCTGTTCTTAACTCTGGCATACTCCCAACACGAGTCCCATGATTTGCTCATACACTCATATCTGCTTCTTGGTCTCAACCAGTTTAAAGCAAAAGTGCTTTTATTTTGCTCAGTGGTATGGGTAAGGGTAAGTAACTGTTTTTTTCCAGGAATGAACTATGACTGGAAAAGACTTGTACATTGCAGAGCCAGAAGATGCTTATATTTTAAGAAAATGTGTTGGCAAAGATCGGTTTGTCAAAATAAAAGGAATAATAACCTATTTTCCTTGATCTGGAACGTGACAGTCTTAATCCCAGAGTTATTAAATATCAGTCAGGTGGTCTGAAGATTTTAAGGTCCATATGTTGCATAGTGGTGTTTCAAGTTAAAAGTTTCAATTTCATGCACAATTAAATTCCCAAACTGTATTCCAAGTTATCTTTTTAGAGTTTCATTTTGAAACCAGGATGAACAGGCCATCTCTAGGAATGTGAATATGCTGAACTCTTTGCAAATGCACGTATGAATCTGAATCATTATGGACCTAAGCAGTTGGCAATAAACTGTGCATTTGAACAATTGTACATATAAATGAGTGTTTTAAAAATGTCTTCTGTTTTTGAACATTGAACTCCAAGGGTTGATGTGTCAGCCTTAATATAAACAAGAACTACTTTTCCTATTTTCACTAAGTAGTGCAAAGGACGCACAAAAAGAGATTCCTTTAAAACTTCGTCATGTGTTTTTCATAGAAGCAGTAGAGGAAATTCAGCATTTAGATAGATAGAATATTATTTGGCTATAAAGCAGCAATTACAGGCAGTTTACATACTAAACACTATTTGATATTAAATCATTTCTATAACAGACTAGAAATGCAATTGTACATAATGTCTCCATTTTGCTCCCTCACTGCTTTGTAGTGTCATGACATCCCATTTCAGGAAGACCTAGACCTCCGGCCAGTGTGGTCTCTAGTATAGTAAACATGAACATGAATCAGACCCGAATACTACTGCCAGCTCTCACTGAACCCATCTGGTGAAGTTGGGCCAGTTCAATTATTTAAGCCAAGTTAGAGATGTAAGATGATGCTAGTCATGTCTGGCAAAGGAGTTTAAGTTGACTTGCGTTTTCAGCCATGCAGCATCTATGAGAAAGGGATGCAAAGGGATTGCCTACTTTAAAAGTGTATGGAGTGAAAGATAACGCTGCTTTTCCAGCTGTGCTGCTCAGTGTTGTCCCCTTAAATAAGTAATGTAAATAATACAAATGGAGTTGACCAAATTCCTAGGCAATGTGGCATGCGTTGGTACCTTGCTGTGAAGGTAAGTCGAATGCTTAAGGAGCTGGGAAAACATAACTTATGTTATCTCAGTCATGTGGACTTACATTTGATGTAGTCTGTAGTTTACTTGATTTTTCTTATAAGAAGTCACTGCAATTTACTTTCTAATTTCAAACTGTTTAATTTCTAAAGTAGAACAGCAGTTGTGAATGAGAGGAAACTTTCTACCTTGTGGCAAAAAATACCATCTTGCAAAATGTTTTGATCTGGTATTTTGTAAACATTTGTCTGTTGGAGGGTAGCATTTCTTCCCAAGAACACACATTGATAAAGTCTGCATTATGTCCATCCTCTTGCTGTCACAGTGTGTGGAGTAACACAGAGCCATAAGTAGAAAATGCAGCCTTGAAGAAATATGATGCCCCTTGTGTAGATTTGAATGGACAGCATTCTTTAGCCAGCTGTTCCCAGCTGAAATTGATTTTCATTTGTACTTTCTTTGTCTGAATTATAGCTGCAATACGGAGATAAGGACTGTCATTCTTGCTTTCTTTCATCTCTACACTGACAAGAACATGCAAAATTGGATCTATTCAATTTCTTAAGTAGGACTTTCTGGTCCAGAACTACTGTATATTGGTTAGCAGAAGCTTTTGAATGGCCTCAATAGTAAATGTCTGGAAAATTTTCATCAGCTTTTCTAATGACATGTGTGACTATATTGTAATGTACAACTTTAAACAAATGTGGAAAAAGAACCGTTTGTCCTTATCTAACAGGCAGTCACTGGCTTCCTGGTAACATCCTTTGAGCATCCCACTGCCATCTTAGTGCATTTGTAGAGAGATGCTATCTGCTGAGCATTACTAAGTGTCAGTCTCTCACCAGTTGCTTTCTTAGCATAACAGGTGGCTCCTGTTGCATTGGATTCCATTGGAAACTGAGTATATGCATCCTCTTTCCTATTGCTTTGCAGATATGTTGGAAGCCAGAATGGTATTCATAGCAGATTCCAAGCTGTGAAGAGTATTACACTTTAAGAACATTTTACTCTCTCTCATAAAATAAACTTAGGGAAATAATTTCCTGCCAGAAATGGGCTCCTATACACATGCAGGGAGGCTGCTCTGGCATGCTGTAGTTACAGTGCGTTAGAGCAGACTCGATGAATTGAGTCTGCTGGAGCATGGTAATTACTGCGCTCCGCCAGCCTCCAGTGTCATCTGTATTAGCGTCCCCGCATTGAAAAATGGCTGTGGGGCTCATTAAACTAAAGCTTGTTCAACAAGCTTTAGTTCAAAGCACCCTGGTGCCAGGGAATGCTGATGCATGTGATGCCCCAGGCGCTTTAATTAGCACAGCTCTCGGAGCTGCACTAATTAAAGTGCCCCTCCACCCCCAGCCTCCTGGAGCAGTCTTTAAACACCCAATGATATTTAGTGGAGTCTAAGCAGATGGGACTGCTGACAGATTCTTGTGGGTCTTGCTCGACTACTTTGTTATCAAGGTACTGCAGCTTGTTCTCAGCTGCATCATTCTTGAATTTCCATTGCTTTTGACTGTCATTTTTCATAGGGGTCATACCATTTTTCCCTTGTAAGCTAATTTTAACAGGATGTGACAGAAGCTAGTTAAGTCTTTTAGTTGCATAACCTGTGTTTGAGCCATAAACCAGTAATCTGTGCTTTGAGACTGTCACACTTTCTCTCTATGGGAGTGCAGTAGAAGCAGACGCATGTAATAGATGGAGGACAGAAAATTGCTACTAGGAGTAGAACCAGGATATTTATGTTGCTGAAGGGATGGTGCTCTGCTTTTCAGTTTACTCCACAAGTGCAAGCTTTGGAAGCATTGACTTGAACTTCAATTTATCCTGATAGGCCATTTCTTTTTATAAGCCAAGGGCTGCTCTTTATCCTAAAATCCAGAAGAGATAAATATTTATCATATAAGTTGAATATAACAGACATTTTTATTTTATGAAGAATAAACTGTTTTGATAATGTTGGCTTATCAAATGCCACCATGCAGTTCATTTCAAAATGTTTAATCTGTTTTGTATCCTGCATATTAATCAAGCAGAAGAACCTCTGTGTGACTTTTTGAAAAGGTCCAAGCTATTCAGATGGATACTACTTTCAGATTATACTTTACTTGATCTATTTGCATTGTGCTCTAGAAATTATGCAGTCTTCATTTGAGATGTGTTGTTTTGTTTGTTTTTGTTTTTTTGTCCTTTTTGTGTTAAGTGCAATATGGCAATGATTCTGTAGTCTTTGTTTTGCAGGGCAGGGTATAGATGGAAATTGCTACAGTCATCTGTCCCAACTGTTGGATGGATGAATAAATGTCCATATCCACATAGTAATCAATTGTAGAGTTACTAAAAAAAAAATCCCATCATGAAGTATTATATCTACAGACTACATCTTCCAGACTCCTCATCTGGAACAAGTTACTGATTTAACTGTTTTGGGAATGCTTAGCAAAAGATAATTTTTTTTTTAAATAGTTTGTGGTGGTCTTCTAATACAGGGGTGAGCAATTATTTTGGGTTGAGGGCCGCTTAAGTTTTGGTGAGCAGTCGAGGGCCACATGGGTAGCCCTGTACCATGACAATTGCCCCGCCCCCTGGTTGCCATCTTGGGACCTGAAGTCCCAACCCCTAACCCCTGACTTTTGCCACTGGAAGTCCCTCCCCTTACCCCCCGAGAAATACTCCTTTCCTAGGGGTTGCCATCTTAGAAACAGAAGAAAACCAAATCATACACTAAAATTCACCTACTATAATATGTTTTAACATATTTTAATTTTATTACAAAAAATATTTTGGCATGATTTGTCCTTCCGTGGTGTGTGTATAGAGGTGCTGGCACAATTCAAAAATAAACTCTTAGTTTTATATATTGTGGGGGATGTGGTGGGGTATGGGTGTGTGGGGGGGTTGTGAGGGTGTGTTGCTCTGTGTGTGGGGGGGCGTAGGGTATGTAGGGGGGTTGTGTAAATGTGGAGGGGTGTGGGGGCAGGATGTAGGGTGTGAGGGAGGGTTGGGGGTGGGGGATCCTCCCCCCACTCCCCTCCCATGGTGCAGCAATGGGCAGGGTTGCTCCGAGCTCTGGCCAGTGCTGCACATCACGGTGAGGGGGAGAACCTCCGCCAGGCTGTCTGTATCACCGGGGCTCCCTGCCACTCATGGCTAGTCCAATCAGAAATTTGGGTTGAATGGTCCAATCACACTGAACTTCCCTTGTTGCAAAAGGATGAAGCATAAGCCCAACCAGACAAAGACCAGGCTGTAAGAGAGCCTGATCTACCTCTATTGCATGTATTTTTGTGTTTCTGTCTATTAAACAGTTTAAATCCTTGATATCAGAGATGGTGAAACCTTTGTTGTTCATTCCATTTGAGAAAGTTAAATGACCCCGTTACTGAAGCAACTGCAGCAGGATACGAAAAAGCTTTCTAGTGCATTCACCATGTCTTTTGTTGTCTCTCTGAAATGTTATGAGGTAAGTTCCTAGTTGATATTTATTTAGGGATAATATTGCAGTACGTGACAGTTGCTTTGGATAAAAGGATAATAAAAAATCACAGGAGAACCTGTTCTTTCTTTAATTTACCTTGCTTGGCTCTCTAATAACCTGCCAGATGTATGAAGCAGATCTAGAGAAGATAGAAAAGGTATAAATACTCAAAATACCATGAGTCCTTTTTTTTTTTAATGTGGCAAGAGGATTGCTAATTTTTGCCAATGATATGGATAGGAAACCTTGCAACTATTAAGAGACTCCTTCTTCAGCACTTACTTTTTAAGCACTACTGATGTGAGTAGTCCAGTTGAATATTGAAAGTGTCAGAGTTGTAGCACCACTATTTCCTCGAGAAATTCTCATTGTTTTAACTTACCAGTTTTAGTAAGTGTATTTTTAGCAAGTGTATTTCCCCAGGAAATGCTGCAACTTTAACCTGGGAAGCAATGTTTTTGTTCATTTTTTTTATTGTAGATTATTGTCAATAGCAATGATTTTGTAGGGAAGATTCAGCCCTTTGTTAAATGTGTGTGTGCAGATCTGTTACCTTGGAATCATCATAGCTGAAACTGTGCTGGTGTAATTTGACCTTGTATCTGTAGCCGTGTGTTTCTGTGCATTCTCTGCTGATAGAAAAATCTGGTGGCTGTTGTTGTTATGTAGAACTTTTGGGCACTGGAGCATGTTCAGGCCTCCAACCAGAGTCTAACGTTGCCTGTGGTCAGATCTGCCTGCAGTGTTCTCCAGGCTCTATAGTACCTCCTGCTTCCCACTCTCCATACCTTTTGGTGTTCAAATACTGCAATGAATTTGGGGGCCTCCTTTTAAACTGGAGTGGCTCCTTTAGGTGCTTTCCCTTTTGGCACAGTACTCGGGGTTCTGTGGCCCCCCCAGTCATCTCTACGGTATACCTCCCCCTCGGCCTAGTTCACAAGCTGTGTCCTTAGCAGTCATTCAGGGCACCCCTCCCCCATTCTTCCTTGCTTGCTGGCTGCCCTGCCACCTACATCCCTTTGGAGCACACTTAGTCACCCCTTACTCCCAGGAAGTCTTCCTCCGAGGCTGCCAGACAGTTCTGCAACAAGTTTCAAAAAGCTCTTCTCTCTCCTGTGTCCCAAACCTGGCTCAGGTGTATAGAGCCCTGGGCTCGACCCCCTTCTGTTCATATGACCAATGCTCCCTAAGTGGCATCAGCAGTTTCTAATTAGCCCGGCAGCCATGCCACAGCCACCACTTAAACAGATGCCTGGAGTTCCACACCTAGTTCTCTTCCTGCTTGCTCCAGGTAAGTGGCTGTCAGCTTCTTATTCTCTTGGAGCTATACCACCTAGCTCCTTTCTGCTGCCTGTCTCTTCATGGCTGACACCAATCCAGCTGTCAGCAGTCTTGCAGGTGCATAATGCTGCTTTCACTCCTTAAAGTAACAGGGGCTAGAGGTTCCCTGTTACAGGTGTGGACAAACATACTTGTAAGGGCTTCAAAAAGGAAAAGTTGTTGCTCCAGAATATGAGGCAGCTGTTTTACTATAACTCTTAAATGTGTATAAGCACAATACAAATATAGCAAAGCCACCCCAATGTTGGCCCCTACTTTATCCAGGGTCGAAGTTGGAGCAATTTTGCTACACTCTATCACCATAGATTCTTGTGAACTTAATGCTCACAGTGTATCAGCTGCTAGGGTCCAGAGCAGCAGCAGCTCCTCTTCCGCTTTTGAAACTGCTACGTGTTTGTCTATCCCAGGTGTGCTCAACCTCTGGCCCACCGGCCCAATGCAGCCTGCAGAGCTGTAGATGTCTGGCCCGCGGGGCTCTCCCAAAGATTGGGAAATTTGGTGGCAGCAGAGATGTAGCAATAAATATGGCCACCCTCCCCTACTGCCAATTCCCAAATCCCATCCTGCAGGTTGGGGCCGGGTCGCACCCCCTCACTCCCACCTCCATGACTGGATGAAGCTGGGTCACACCCCTCCCTTCAGGCTGGATAGAGCTGGGCCATGCCCCTTTTCCTTTGTGGGACCGGGTTAGTTCCTTTCTCCCTTCTCTCCCACCACGGGACCAGGTTAGAGCCAGGATGCCCCTTGCTTCCTTACAGGTGGCTGAATGGGGCCCTGCCATGACCATCCCTTGCCAAATCAGGGCCACCGGATGGATCCAGCCCACAGATGACCTAGGCACTTCCCATTTGGCCCACCAGCCAAAAAGGTTGAGCATCACTGGTTTATACCATTTGTTACCAAGTCAGGTGTATTTTTTTATACTCACTTTTTTTCCAATATAAGTGTGTTTTGCTCCTTAACAAAAATTGTTTGGCTATTTTGTGTTTTAAATGCATGTAGTGTTTTAACAGAGACAGTATCTTGCTACTATGGACAATGTATATATGCAGTTTTGGGCCTCTGGTTTTGCAGGCCTTACATTATGTTGTTTGGTTTGTGTCCGTTTTCCAGTAACAATTCAAGACTAGATTCCTTATGCTAGCACCTTGCCTTCTGCTTCGTGACTAAACTCCTCAAGCCAATGGAAGGTCATGAGGTTGCTGCTGAACAACTGGTGGTCATGGCATTTGCGTTGGCTGCAAGTTAGTTTTTGATAGCAGGCCATAGAAACATGTTCCTCAAAGTGGAGACCTTATCTGATAAAGGTGTTTATAGATTTAATAGATTTCTAGGGTCAGAAGCAACCTATTAGCTCATTGAGTCCAACCCCCAGCTCTGGGCAGGAAAGAATGCTGGGGTCAAGTAACCCTAACCAGGTGCTTGTCTAATCTCCTTTTGAACACCTCCAAGGTAGGGGAAAGCACCACCTCCCTTGGAAGCCCATTGTATTTTTTGGCAACCCTCACTGTAAAGAATTTCTTCCTGATGTCCAATCTAAATCTGCTCTCCTTCAGTTTATGGCCATTGTTTCTAGTAACCCCAAGGGATGCCCTGGTAAACAGAGTATTTCCTATTCCCTGCTGACCCTCCCCGATGAGTTTCTAGACAGCCACAAAATCACCTCTCAGCCTTCTGTTGCAGAGGCTGAAGAGATTCAGGTCCCTCAATCTGTCTTCATAGGATTTTTACCTGTAGGCCCTCAACTATATGAGTAGCCCTCCTCTGAACCCTTTCCAGGTTATCCACAGCTCTCTTGAAGTGCGGCATCCAAAACTAGATGCAGTACTCTAGTTGCAACCTCACCAATGCTGCATAGAGGGCAAGGTATCACCTTCCTGGACCTGCTCATGATGCACCTACTAATG